GGCACCCCCTACCCAGAGGCCACTGGCTCGTCCCAGGGCCGCCCGTCCCGGTCCCCCTTGCTCCTCCGTCCTGGACAAACGCCTCTCCTGTTGGATTCCGCGGGTCTGTTTGGGGAGTGAAGATGGATGAAATCTACGTTCCGTGCGATGTGTGCACGACTCTGCACGCCGGTTTATGGTGACACGGCGGGGCCGGGCGGCAGGAAGGGAGTGCCCGGGGCCGGCGCTGCGCTAGGGCGGCTGCCGGAGGAGGCCGGGCCGCGCTCCCCGCGGGAGTGGGGCGGGCTTAGCGACTGGGAGCCTCTTACCGCTGCTAGTACATACCTTGGCTTATTCCTGCCTTTTTTTCCCCCTTCTACAGACTGCTGCATGCTGCTGCCTAGCACGCAGCTGCTTCGCCGGCCTCTCTACTGCATCCGAGCTTGGGGCCGCTTGCCCTCGCGTTCTTTCATGAACCTCCGGGACGTCGTTGCTACCCTGAACGACTTTGCATCCCTCTCCCTGGCAGAAAGCTGGGACAATGTGGGGTTGCTGGTGGAACCAAGTCCTCCTCACACTGTCAACACCCTTTTCCTCACCAACGATCTCACTGAGGAGGTGATGGAAGAGGCAGTGCAGAAGAAGGCAGACCTTATTCTTTCTTACCACCCTCCTATATTCACACCGCTCAAACGAGTAACGTGCAAGACCTGGAAGGAAAGGCTGGTGGTCCAAGCCCTAGAGCATAGAATCGGGATTTACTCTCCCCACACGGCATATGATGCTGTACCTCATGGAGTCAATAACTGGCTAACAAAGGGACTCGGTGAGATTCTGTTAAAAACAAACAAACAAACAAGTTAAAATTAATCATCAGTATATGCTACTTTATGTAGCATTTTCTTCTAGCATTTACAGCTATGGTTTGATGACTCTTCCCTCCCCCTTAAATATTCTAGTACTTCTAAGTACCCTAAACTTATTTAAGGGAATTTATTTTATGAGGAATGCCTGAGATGTGCATTTTCAGGCACATGACTGTACCATTGGAAATAGTCTGAACTGTTGGAGCATATTTATTGCCCATCTTGGTTGCAAAGTTTAGACCACTGACTTTAAATCAACACCTTTAATGTATTAAGTGCAAGATCTCATTGCTTCCAAAGGACTTAAGGTATCCGAAATTCTGTTAGATTTTTATCCTGTATTGCAGCTCATAAATTAAGACATCTATGTCTATTTCAGCCTGATTTACAATCCAGAAACCACTTTGATTTTGTACAATTCTTAGGGCAAAAAGGATGTCATTAAGACTGACAAATAATATATACTCATCAACTTATTTGCACTAAAACCAGACTGGGCTTTACAGACAACAGGCTAAGAAGTTCTCAGTGCTGGTCAGGGAAAATGGATGTGAGTGCAAAATTTGCGTCTTGATGGACCTATTTTAGGATATATGCTAAAATCAGTATTTAGATTACTTACCTAGCTTTCTATAACAGCAATCATGTACTGCTTTCTCAGGTGCCTGCACTTCTGTCCCACTGCATCCATCAACTGCACCAGGCTATCCAGCTGAGGGCACTCACCGGCTAGAATTCTGCACAGACAACGCTGAGCATCTGGACACGGTGCTGTCCAAAATCAAAGACATCCAGGAGATCTCCTGCCTCACTACTTTCCCTGCCAGGTATCTGCTTCACTGTCTAATGTAGTATTCCTTCTGTTGCTGAAACAGTAATTTGCTGAAATCGTATTTTACTGTTGCAATCACTTTGTTGCAATCACATTGCTCCTATTTTTTTCAGCAACAGATCTAGAAACTTAAGGAATAATCATCCCTTTCTGATCAATCTGTGTTATAGTAAATGGTAACAGCAACTCAGTGTAGCATTGCATAGATTAGAGGTGGTAAGGAAGAGTATTAACATGAAATTTGATGAGGACAATTGAGTTAAATTCCCATCTTTGCTTCTTCCAAGAAAGTAGAATTAGGCTAGGCTAGCCTATTATAATGCTATCTTTTTTTCCTTTCCCTGTGGAAGAATAGCCACTGGGAGAGATTAGCTTTGTTTTAAATTAATATGATGGTGACATTTTTTCTAGTTTCTTAGCTTTTATTTTCTCAGGGTTGAAGGTGAGGAGCAAACACGAGTCAGTTTGAACTGCTCTCAGAAAGCACTGTTGGAGGTGGTTGCATTACTGTCCCAGAACAGCCTTCTTTATCACAAGACCGAGATTCTCTTATTACAAAAGGTAACAAAAATCACATATTGCTTCCCCTGAAGGTGTTACTTGTGTGAGCTGAGTGCCCTGAACACTGAAATCCAGTAGTCAGTAGCATTACAGGTTTTCTATGCTATGCCTCAGAACTCTGAGATACTGGCCTGTGGGGATTTGAAGCCACGTGCATTTTCCAAAACAGTGAAAATAGCTGTGTAAGCCTGTACTTATTCTTAAATCAGTTCCAATAGCTAGTATGTTAAATTCCAGAACATCACATACGTATTTTTTCATAAAGTTCAGAGGCATTCCT